GACTCATTAATGATGAATTGCAACTGTGTAATTCCACCAGACTCATCTGGTAGATTACCATTTTCATGTCGCCAAATTTCACCCTTTTTTTCAGCAAGAAAATGAGTCTGGTTTGGCCAATCACTTTGCTCCAGTGGATTCAGATCTTAGCCATTTAATAGCAGATCAGATCGGCAGCTATGTACAGGACCATTAAAAATCGAGTCCTGAGAGCTCGGGAAACTAAGCTTAGAGAAGGCAAGCCCACTTTTCCTGCGTGTGTCATTGACACCCCCTCCACAACAACAATCATGTTGTTCTAGCCACGGGCCCAGACTGGTATCCCCCTGCATTAAAAGACAGACAGGAAAGAAGCACAGAGATCTGTCATCGCGGATTAAGGTCAGGCGGGCCGTACTGCGACACGATTTCGATAAGCGGTGTAACGTGACCTTTGACTTATCTGGGCAGAACAATGCAGTCAAAAGCCGTGGAATGGCCTTGTTACCGTGCTTGTAAGTGTTTCAAGTGGCTAAAACGGCCTTTTGTGAGGGATCAATGGCAGAGGGTGTAAATTGTATATTTAATTGGTTATACGAAGTGCGGCAATCTTTATGTTCTCTCAGCTTCGGTATCGCGTGTCGCTTTTAAAGTTTTCGGCACAGAGAGAACACGTAGTACATTTAGTACAGTACACAAGATCTGGACACTGGCTTTTAAGAAGCAGATCGTACTAGCAATTTACTGCTTCTTATCCAAACATTATGTTACGTTTTGTGAACATCAATAACCAATCCTATAAACAGTCATCAGCTATAAATTGCCGACTGTGCAAAACGGAGAAATATTAAACTGACTGGATGTCATGATCAATACGTGGATACTGCAAGACTCATAATTGTTCTAATGTGTATATTGTAAAATAATGTAAAACATTATCAAAAGAAGACACTTTTAAATATATTATATCATGTACAAATATAGACGTCATCAATGAAGTATGTAAGTATATTTCAAAATGTTTCAAAAAGATAGAAGAAGCCATTATAACTTAGATATATACCACTTTATACATATATTTCTTCTTTAGCATTGTGTACCTTAGACTGATGTTAGCCTTTCTATATTACTATTGTTGTAGTACATTCTAGTACATTGTACTCTGTACATCTGTGCATTTATCCCCCCGGGGAATGAACATGCAATAAAGTTTCAATTTCAGTATATTTTACCAAGGATGTCTTTATCCAACCCGAGTTCCTGATATACGACGTGGGCAATTGAAACAACTGGTAAGGACCGGTGACTAACTAGGAAAGACAACGACAATAGCCGAGTTACATGAGGTTAAGTAAGGATTTATGACTCTATAATGAATATCTAACCAGCTGATTAACAACAGGAAATCATCAAGTAGCGGACGGTGTGATTCAACGCAACCATCCTGTTTGAGGTGTGACTCTGTACAAATGCAGAGAAGTGCTTTTGTCCGACGTTTCTATACACATGTACATGACTTCCTCAGTCAGTGGTAAAAGCAATTAACAGGGGGTACCCTATCGGCAGCATTGCTGAATACTGCTTTCTGTCACTTATCTACAGTTAGCGGTGGAGTTCAAAGGCAGAGGTAGTGTGACAAAACAGAGCACGGTCGCGCCCAGTCGATTACTCTAGAACCGCCGCCTATTTCCTGGCTACTGTGTGTTCAACAATGTCCAATTCAAACACAGTTGCGGTTTGACTGTTCAAATCGGAACCTCGGACAACACTCCCCGCACCCCACAGGCGGACTTGAATTTCACCCCACATAACCTTTCAGAAAAAAAATGACACGGTTGTAGGTACAACAGAAATGGTTCACATGAACCGCTAGGTTTCTGCTCCACTAGGCGGTGGCCGGAAAGACACCGGCGGGACAGTTGGCCACATGCAACCAGGGAGAAAATCAACGAGAACGGAACTGAATGTTTCAGGATACCGGTAGAGATTTACAAGAAGGCAGTGATCATGAGGTCTCTACCATAGTCTCGACCAGACTACTACTATTAACTACGCTGGCTATATACTAGTATATAGGAGAATATTTGTCAGGGGAGTTTGGCCGCCTTGTAGGTTTGACTGGCCGCACAGGAAAGAATTTACTACCTCCCCGGTGCGCAGCCGGACTCCCTTGGCCAATTTTACCTTTTTTTTCCCGAATTCTACGATCCGTATTCCCGTAGAAAGGCCTGGTGGAGGCTACCGTTAGACATTTACAGGAAGGCAGTGAGGTCTCTACCCTTACTTGTGTGTGGCTTCATTTAGATCTATTAGCGGCCACGCCGGGCAGTGTGCCGGTGTTAAATAGTATTAGGGATCTCGGAGGTAAGCTAAGCCGACGGCGGCTTCGCTCCCTTGATCACTCCCCCGACATCTAGTGTCTCACTCCTCGGTTCAAGGCGAAGACAGATTACCATAGAAAATTAGCCGCGTGAAGATTCCTGTCCCCAGATCAACCCTTATCCACCTTAATCTCCGATAAGCCGTGCTCTTAAGGCCACCAACAGGTACCAGTGATACGCTAGAGTTAACAAAGTTAGACCAACTCACTACCGGGCGCGATGGATACCTGGGGAAGGAAACAATTAGCATGCTAACTGCTTAAGGGTCGCTGCATCTAACAAGATTATTTTTGTTTCTGTAATTTCTAAAGCACCGCTGTCATTATAGCTTATGATTCTTATGTTTTTGAGTCCCTGTTTTGAGGTAGGGTTTTAGAACCAATCTGATATTGTTCTTTTTCTTGAAATCCAATTATAAACTGCCCTTCATGCTGCGCAAGAAGTGTGTCAGCTCATTGGAGTCGGAAATTACTATTACTTTGTTGTTCAGGGAGTCATTTAGCGAAGAAAAATGCTTTAAACTCCCAAGCGATGATAATGAAAACAATACCAATGTTAGCAAGTATTAGATCTCCAAGTGATCTCCAAGTAGATACTATAGGGGCAATATGCCACTTTTTGTCATGGCGTTTAGCCACGGCATCGGAAAGGCGTAACAATACCTCACAACATCTGCTTAAGGATAGCTCTTGACTGCTAGTTGTGAACATTATTATTACGATAGCTAGTTTATTATATATACATCTGGTACAGAGGAAATGGAGAACAGGTTGTAACGTTCTTACGTAAGGTGCACAAGAGTACACTGATATCGCAGCAGGGGTAATATCTATCGTCTGTACCCCCAACACATTCCATATGCTAATGGCGCTGGAAATCGCCAGGGTTCTGTTTGGGGGAAAACAGTGGAATCCCTCGGAGGAATTCCTGGCGATGAAAACAGAAGAGAACCGCCATTCCTCCCACATGTCGTCACTTGCAGACGACTCTATCACCGACGCAAAGTGTCCGCGCCGCACAGGAGTTTAGTAACTTACCCACACCCTTGTGTGTTTGTGTAAATGGAGTGGAAAAATAAACAAACTTATGAGACCGCTGTTTATTTGGAGAGGCTACCTCAATTTCGCATTGCCAGTGGCGGGGATTGTCCGCATGGAGGAGCGTCGGGCCGGAATTTGTTCAACGCTAATCCCAGTGAGAAAAAATGGCTTCAACTTGAGTCACAAAGAGCTGCATCGCGTATGTTCAGAAAATATACCCAGGAAACGCCCCAAAACAGTTACTCAAGCAACTGGATATGATTTTGGAAACGGTCAGACGTTTCAGCTAGTATCCACTAACTAGCTTTCGTCAGTGACTGAGAGACCAGAGGAGAAATGCAGGTTTATAAGCACAAGCTACTGATTTCTCCGTTTACCCAGGAAATGTATTGTTGTTGCAAAGATTGTGCTGTGTTGGCTAAGTTGTTGTGAATTAAGTTGTTTTCTTTAACTTATTAAGCAATTCTACCACTAAGTTATTTAACTGGAATTAACGGTACCCAGATGATTATTTCATTTTCAAATTAGCATTTTATTTTGCCTTTAACTTATTAGGGGAAAATCAGCATAATGACCCTTAGATAATGAAAAATTATTTCAGGGTATTCTCCTTGGATCTTACATTACCTGTTCAAAAATAATGCCATATCCTTTTTTCTGCTGCATAGAGTGTATATTCCTACTAGTTAGTTGGTTGGAATGTGAGTGTATTGGACCTAGAAAGGGACAGCTAGTTACCACAAATACATAAAACAGTAACAGTTACATGTAGAATCATACAGGTGGTCTTATATAAGATCATATAACACTGAACTTAACTATACCCAACAGTACTGAACTGAACTGAACATTATATGAATGAAAGCCCTGCTATTCTACAGGAAGCAATACAGGCCTCCTGATTATCGTAAATGTTGGGAGGGAAAATTGTGAGGTTTTCTGGCTTCCTCGCTCCCAACATCTGCTTGGAGTTGGAGATCGCCATTCCCGCTCAAAAGTCACCTACAGGTCTTGTCTTTCAAGCCTCAGAACACGCAACCTGATCACAATCATTCCTGTTAAAAATCGGGTCTACTTATTTTTAACAACAAAGACGATAGTGACATGGCATGACACTGACAGAAAAAAAACTTGCCATACAACTTGGAAAAGTCAACGCCACAACACGAAGTTGGACCAAAGTTTCCTCGAATCGAATGCAAACACCGAAACGAAGTAACTCTATCACATGCGAACTAACTCCTTCATGTTGTGCAGTATCTATGGAAAAGTAATTTTCGGTCTTTGTGGGTCAAGATGAGTTATAAAAGTGTGAAACATCAACGCGAAAAAAAGATGTTTGCAACTTACAACAGGTTGTACGAGTTCTTGTGACACTGGTGGCATCCAAACAAGATGAAATAATATCCAAATAAATTTGTATCATATCTATAAACATTAGTCAGTAGTAACACTTTCGCTCAGAATATTTTTATTAACTTGTTATAAAATACTTTCTTGTTTAATATTTGCGATATTCGTCTTTAATGTGCGGAAATATTATTATTCTTTTCTCTTTTTTTCCATTCGCTGCGGTGGAAGCAAACAGCCGCGTTACGAAATACCTTCCCATCATCCTCCTTTTCCGGTGCCCCACTTTGGCGGGGTCATTATTTCGTCAAATATGCGGTAAAATTTCGCCAATTTACGCCATTTCTGCGGCCTACAGGCTGACAAAAATGGATTTTAACAAGTTTTTACAACCTCCCGGTCTAAATCTGACCGACCCCGAGGACGACTTTGAGCAGGTAAGTTGTCAAATCGACGAGTTGACGTGGTCTTCTGATCCCTGTTTTTGTTGCTTCCCAACTATTTTTTGCCCTAGTTACCTTACCTTTTTAGGTAAATAACTTACGATTTATAAGATTCCTCGACGAGATTTTCTTGATTTTTGTCCTATATCCTATCTGTGATCTAATTATGTCGTTCAGATACGGGTTCATAAGCGTAGGAAACGTAGATATACATCAAAAGTCGTTTACTTGGGTCATGGGGGAGGGGGGCAAAACAACAGATCAATGCAACAACACGGATATAAATATATGATGAGGTCATGATCAGGTGACTGATGACTATAATTTTAACAGCAGTGAAAATATGAAGAAAATTGTACATGTCCTGTTAGCTTTAAGGTGTCTTTCTATATAATTGTATACCAACCTCCTTACACATACAATGTACTAGTAACATTAAATTATTATTCTTGAGTTTTTAAATAATTTGTCACCTTTTCCACTTTTCCATGAAAATCTTGCTATAGATTAGTACCAGTACTTGAACCTTGATACACAACTGCATTACTGAGTACCAACTATGAACACTTGCTTAATTGTAACACACCAGTTTTGTATTTGTTTTTGTTTGTTTCGCATAACCGGTAAACCGCCTTTATGTACAAGCTGCATAAGACCGGACTGTAATTTTTTAACCACTCACACCGGGAAGGTCCCCTACTCTTTTCGATAAGTGCGGTGGTAGCCGTGGACGACTCTGTAACCCTTTTTGCATGATAATGCCGGGTACATAGTCGTGGGGCGATGCATAGGCCAAAACCAACCTTTGCCGTGCCGGGCCTCATGCAACGGGCCAGCCCCGGTTTTTTGGTGTCCCTGGCTTCCCGACGCACTCACCTGCCGGGCCGGGGGGATAAGACCCTAAACAAACGCAGCATTTAACCACAACACGGCCTCGGAGCACGTAACTCCATACAAATCATTGGCGATCGGCGCCATTTTGAATTCAGGAATCGGCCCGCAAAACAGGTCGGACCCTGAGTTTACGACAGATTACGTCGTTATTTTCTACTCTCCAACGTTCAAGCTGGGGGTATCATGACGTAAACTGTCCTATCTAAGGGACGTCCCTAACCGATGCTAAGTACTCATTTCCACCCGAGTGCAGTGAGGAAACTTGTGTAAAGTGCCTTTCCCAAGGGCACAAGATCGGTGACATGGTAGGATTCGAACCCGCGACCTCTTGGTTCTGAGCCGAACATGCTACCATTTACTAGTAATTGCAATTACTAAGCACAAAATTGAAATTACGATAAGCACATGTGCCCGTAACGCCTACATTCATTTTAACACCTGGAGGTCAACATGTACATGTACAACCAGTATTTTGATAACAGGCCGGCGGCAGTCTTTGAAACCGTGACCTGAATGTAACTGTTTCTACACTTTGTGATTTGCGCAGGTTTCGCCTGCACACAGAGAGCTGACAGAAAGACTGCGGAAGACTTTGTACCACGGAAATCTGACAGATGAGGAGCTGAAAAGGCCGTCAGCGGTCGCCACAGGTCTGTCAACATCTACTATTATATAAATTGAAAATGTGCATCAGATGTGCAAGAGCCAAGAGAGTTAATTATCCCCTTTGCCAAGAAGGTTATGTTTTTGATAACTTTTGTGGGGTTGCTGATTGCTTTGTGAATAGAATAACTTAAGAATTGGATGGAGAACGGAGAAGGAATATTATATATGTTGTATGACAAGGTATTGACTTACTACCCCCTAGCAACTTCCTGTAGAAGTGCAATGAAACTGTAGGTACATGTATTCTTGTATTTCTTTAGGAATAATAAGGTCTTGAATTTTAAGTGGCAGAAATCTGTTGTTTAACTAAAGTCAGTCACTGTTAGTGTCAGAAAATAATGCTCTGTTATTTTGACATTTTTTTTTCTGTTATTTGTATAACTGCCCTTCGGCATAGCACACCAGCTGTTGATGAACTAATTCTTTCCATGAAATTATATGTATACACAAGGACATTATGCACAGTATAATGTCCTTGGTATACATAAACAATGTTTCCTTTCTGTGCTGCAGACATAGCAGTTGAGTTATTACAAAAAGCTGCCCCTTCACCAAAGAATAGGCTAAGGGAGAAGTATGCAGCATCTGTTGTCAAGTAAGTGACTTCAGCATCTATTCAATCAATATAACCAATAAATTTATGTTTGTCCATACAAATTGTATGTATAAACATATTGCAGTGGTATACCAGTTGAAAGTATAGGTCTGTGTTCTATAATATCATATACATGTATGAATATTTTTCATGTGGGCCAAATTATTGTAGAGTGAAGGCAGCCCCCTAGAGTTAACTGTTGTTTTATTATGATTACTAATTATTGTTGTTTCTTTGATATGTGTTTTTTTTTTAAATTCTATATGTAACTAAAAGTCATTTGTGTCAAGGTCATTGATCCTGGTCTTACCCTGTTCCATAGTGGTGTTTCTATCTCACCCTGTACCCTGATGTTGGGCATGTGGTATGTGGAGAGATTAAAACACAGGAATCCTGAGTACCTGCAGACAGTGTCCTCATCTGACCTCTTCTTGGTCTCCATGGTAAGTACATGTAGACAGATGTTGCTACTAGTATGATATAACATCTATAGAGTATGGTATAAAGTGTAAGGTTTTTGCTACTAGTATGATGTAACATCTATAAAGTATGGTGTAAAGTGTTAGAATTCTGCAATGAATTGAAGATCAGTTGCTTCAGAATACATGTTTCATGTTGTGTGTGTGTTAGCGTGGTACATGTAATGGTATGGGAGACACAGTTTGGTTTAGAATTATAGATAATTATTTATTTGTTTATTACGATATCCTGTTTTTCATTTGTTTGTTTATTACGATACCTTAAGCTGTATGGGGAATCTTACAGGGTTCAACAGTAAAACTACAGGTCACTCAAAATAAAAATACAGACATGCAGATTACAAGGTCTAAATAAAAACATAAGACATAACAGTTACTGGTACATTGTAGTAGCACTTCCACTCTTTTTTGTAATAGTTTTTTTCATGCATTGGCACCAGTGTAACCCATGTGAAACATTGAACAACAAAATCCCTAACTTGAGACCCTACTTCAACACAACAGTGACAGTCAATTTCGCCACCTGTCCTCTTCGCAAACATTTTACCCCGACATCCTTCCACTCCACACAAAGCTAACCGTGGTTCTCCCACAGATTAACCTTCCAGTATTATGAGCCAACAAGTGTTCCCTAAACACAGAAGCAAAGATAATGGGATCTTTGTCTGTAGAATAACGGCATACGTTAGCTCTTGGTCTTAAGTCTCAAGCCAAGTGGCTACTTTCTTATTTGAACAAGAATTTGGAAAGGGCGGAAAGCCAGACTTGTTGGAGACTATAAGGAGGAGCAGGGTTGGGTAATTCCAACCCAGAGGATTATACTTACTGAGGAGAAAGGACAGGAATGCTGGTGCGTTGGTATAGCCAGTCAGACAACAGACTCAAGAGTCAAGAAGGAGTAACTATTTCAAGACATAAGCAGGTACAAACTACTTGAAGAAACTTTAAGCTGAATCATACACAGTTGTAGGAGCCTCAAAACATCTTAGAATTCTACTCTTGTCCCTTTCTAGGTTTTCTGCTCTGTAGTAATTTGAATACCTTTTGTCACAAGAAGTCTAGGATTTGAGAAGTAGGAACCAGGAAAAGAAGTCATGTAGTGTATCAAAATCCAATACTTAAATGATGTTGCTTAATGATATACAGGTCTTAGCCAGTAAAGTTGGTTCAGAAAACCTTTGCATTACAGCGGAAATGATCCAGAACTTTCCTCAGTGACTAACTATGAGTATTAGTACTTGGAAGAAGTATACATGTATGTGTGCAGACTGTGCAGTGAAGCATGAAAGGAATAGGGTTTCGCCCCTTCATTAGAATGTTGGTTGGCATCGCTAATTGCGGACGCCCAAAGTCAAGGGCAAAAGTCTCCCAGCTGGAGTCTGGACAGCGTCTGACTTGATAGCCACTTCTTGGAACTTGTGGCTGTAAAGTATGTGGAGTCAGTCGAGTTCTTGTTATAGATATATATAAGGCCACACCAATTTAATTTCTTGGTTAACGGATTCGCCGCTTCATTTTTTTCTGATTTGCAAATAAAAATAAAAATTCAGAATCAACTGCAAAATGCTGATATTTTGCCCTGAACAGTTGAAAACAGTCCTTTTCTTACTACTTGTTACAGTCATTCCATCTTTCAATGCAGTGGTATCATTAAAAGTTCAAAATTCATTGTTTAAATTTTGAACCTGCCTGGTGTGTTGACTTCAGAGCTCCTATTGTACCATTTTGGGCCATAATAGGATGCCTAGGACTGTTTTTATTTTTTATTTTTTTCGCCCGCCCGCTCCACTATTTTCCTAGAAAAATCCGAGAACCAACAAATTAAATCGGTGTGGCCTAATGAAAGAAAGTAAATTTGTGGTCATGTCTGGGAAGGAAGCTTTCTTGGAAGGGAAATGAGAATATTAAAGCCTTAAGGCATCCAATGCAATTTCAGGGCAGAAAAACAAAAAATATTCTGGATGAGGAAATCTGTCTGATGTACTGCCATTTCTTAGCACATTTTTGCAATCATTTCATACTTAAAGCAGTTGAAATGTTCCAAAAACAAGCTACACGAGGAGTCCCTTTATTTTTTGGTGCCACCAAGAAATAACTAGAACCAGACTACCATATGAAACAAGCAACTGTTTTCCATCAGCAAAATCACATGTTTGCACATATCAGTATACTATGGGATAGAGTTGATTCAACTTATTACATTAAAAAGGACCAGAAAATTGACTTTGAAAATCTAGTTTTACCTCACTGAAATGACTTTGGTTGCCTTCAAGATGACAGGAGACATGAAATGTGAAAAAGGAAGTGTACGTAGACTAAGTAATAAGCATGTCTCCCTTGAAACAACCCTTGTCGTTACTGGTAGAGAAACCGTTTACTTTCCCTCTCGTGAACAGCTGTTGTGAAAGGAGCCAGAAGATCCTTGTTCAGTTGGCGCTGTGGCTGCCACTTCAGAAGGCAGTGTGGCGGAATACTGTTTGGAAAAACCTGAATTGGCTGTTGCTGCCAACAAGCCATGACGAATACTATGTTCAAATTCAATGCTGTCACCTGCCAGCCTTGGCTAAAAGGCGTATGAAGTGTGTGTAAGATGACTGTACAAAAAACGCATTATTCCAGTGTACATGTGCTTGTGTGTGAAGTGTGCCCTCTTACTGAGGAGATTACATGCATCACATGTTATATGTATGCTAAGAACTGTGTTTTAAACTCAGAGAAAGTCAAGGATTTATTATACTAGACCTACATATTGATAAAACTGGTTGGTATTCCAGTTGTAGTTATGAAAACTAGAGACACGTATACTGTACTCAAGAAAACAGTTTTTCAAGCAACTGGATAGATTTTGAAAAGATACTTTTTGGATAGTCTATCCAGTTGCTTGAGTAACTGTCTCCTTGAGTACTACTAGTACTAGTATCTCATTGCCCGGATGTGTAACCTTCATCGACGCACAGACAGTACAGTCTGAAGTGTAGAAGTCCCCATGCCAAAAAAAGGTACCTGCCATATTTTACCAACATGAATGTGACAAAGTCAAGGTCCGTGTCCAACTCGGGTTCATTGCTCCCATTCAGAAGAAGTTACTGCTCCTGGGACCATGCAGAACTGGCCCTCCTAGGGGGGGTCGGGTTACCAGGTCAGGACTCGAAATTCATTTCTGGGAATAGGCGCACTGGTGCACCCAACCTAAAAAAATGGGTGCATAAAAAATATTTTAGGTGCACCATGTAAGGTAAGATAAGTAGAATGTCAGCAAGAACTAAAATTATGTTTCATTTCAAAAAAAGTACTATAACAATGATTGTATTATTTTTACTGACACTTTTTTTTAAGAATATGCTGTAACTACTATACATTTAACATCTTTACATACGTTTAACTTAAGAAAATATTTGGGTGCACTGGTGCACCCACGGAAAAAAATTGGGTGCACAGCTCCAATTTTTGGTGCACTAAGGTGCACATGTACTGTACCCTGTATTTCGAGCCCTGCAGCTAGACAGACTGGTTGGAACTGCTCCTGACATCAGGTATCACATACTTGGGATGCCTGCTCCTGTCAATCAACTTAAGCCACTCCCAGGTTGGGGGAGGAGTTTAAAGCTGTCAAGGGTGATTGACAAGGAAGATGGACAACGGAAAGTTTCGACAGAGTGTCTTAGTATTTCCAGGAAGTTTTAACTTCACTGTTCTTACATATAGGTCCAAGGAGTAAGGTAGAGGGTAGAAAAAAAATTATGTTAATCCCCACAAAAGGTCATTGGCACCAGCAAGTCAAGAGGGTATTCATTGCACAACACATTTGTTATATACAAGTTTTCCTCAGCAAATGGGGGGATTCTTTTAAAAATAGTCCTGCAGAAAAGGTTGTCATAGTTCTTCAATCAAGGGTTGCAAAAATTATATGACTGTTGTGTGTAAATTTGCAAATACATGTACATGAACATATGCATGTTAGACATTCGAGTGATGAGATACACAAGAAAACTGTTACTCAAGCAACTGGATAGATCTTGAAATTCTATGTACAGTATATACAAATGTTGCTTTAGACTTGCACATCATACTATTAACTATATGTGTCAAGTTGCTTTGAAGTCACTGGTTGCCATATCTGAAAAAGTTTCAGTTGAAGTGTCCTATTGCTGTTACTCCATTCTTAATGTACTTTTTTTTTAAATTTGAAGCCCATTACAAAATGTCTAGGGAGAGACTCCTACTGATCTGTTACTGCCTAACAGACTGCCCACAGTATAACTTCAACATGTTTCTGTTTAACTTCTAGACGCGTGCAGAAAGCCTTTTGAACCTGGGAGCCTTGACAACATGGAAATTATCCTCTATTTTTAGTAAAACGTTGTTTTTGCCTGACCTGAACTTGTAACCTCCTGAGTTTTCGTGTCACTGTACAACACAAGACTTTGTGTTGAAATGTGCCACCCCACCTACTCCATGTCCTGCATGTTTTTCAAGCAGAATTGACTGTATACAGCTCAACAGTGTACTCAGCACCTTGCCATAAGCGACGTAAGATATCGCCTTACGCCCTGCCAGGATAGCTTACATCTGGCCGAACCACATTGTATATTTACCACAACTGAAACATATTATGGCGAGGAATTCGGCGTGGAATGTTCGGACTCCGCGCGCCGGACGAGATATTATTGTTTGGGCGTCGCGCACACAGTGTTCCACATCTAATCATGACCGGCTGCCATGTTTGCAAACAGTTTTCCATTTTCTGCGGTTTGAATGGGAACCCTTGAACTGCTTGGTGGCGTGCCAGAAGAGGGCCTGCCCCTCGCTTTGTAGCAGGAATGTGACAGCTCGCTTAGAGGGCCCGGTTACACTGTGGACACAAAACCTTTGCTACTGACGATTAGTCAAAATAACTGACAGGATGGAGGCAAACACTTAAATCTGACCGTGGCTCTTCTCAAGGGTTTGGGCAGCTGGAGCTTAAACCAATCAGTGCTTTAACCAATCAGAACTCCTCCTGGCCACTCACTTACTAGTTAGTAATTGGCTTGTCTCCGTGTGATCGACACAGCAATCAAGCGACCTTAACCTTGTAGCAACTCATGTATCATTTTTATCCAATTAAGTAGCCAAATGTGTAGAGTAACACTAAGATCAAAAAGTCTTCTCATTCGGTTTGATTCAACAATATGTGTTTATTGATAGTTAGGCCATGTTGATTTGATTATATGGATGACATCCGCGCGCGCATGAATTATCGGCCGTTTCCAAAAAAAAGTTTTCAACCATAGTACTGTAAATCGTACAAAACAGTTACAAAATGAGCAAAAATACACCGTAAGTTGCCAAAAAAATTATTAAAAATGATACCAATGTCGTAGATTGCCAAAATCAAACGAAAAAAGACAACAGTGTCAAGAAATGAATTTGAAGATTAGATTATTCGCTATACCATATTCTATGTCATTTGGTCAACTTTCATAACCACGTAGATTTCATAATGAAAGCAACTTTTTTTTTTGCAAAACTTTTTTTTTATTCGCTCGCGCGCATCAGTTCTGCGGTTCCCAGAGGATGTCATCCATATAATCAAATCAACATGGCCTTAGGACTAAACAAAAATATACAAGACCGAATGAAATCCTCATAAACACTTCTTATCGAATTCAAGGACAAACAGTACATGTCCATGCATAAGGCATAGACTAGTGATAAAGCTTTTCAAATACAAATCTCTAGACTATACTATAGTCTAGAAAGTTTTATCACTATACTGCAATGCCCTTTAGTTTTCAGTACATAAGGCCACACCAATTTAATTTGTTGGTTCTCGGATTCGCCTCTTCGTTTTTTTCTGATTTGCAAAAAAAAAAAAATTGATTCTGGTCCTTAATCAACTGAAAAATGCTCATGTTTTGCCCCCCAACAGTTGAGGAAAGTCCTTTTCTTCCTAGTTGTTACAGTTTTCCCATCTATCATTGCAGTGGTTTGATTAAAAGTTCAAAATTCAATGTTTAAATTTTAACCCAGCCTTTTGTGTTGACTTCATGGCTCATTTTGTAGCATTTAAGCCTATAATAGGATGCCTAGACCTGTTTTTATTTTTATTTTTTTTTCGCCCTGTCGCTTCATATTTTTTCTGAAAAAATCCGAGAACCAACAAATTAAATTGGTGTGGCCTAAGTTATCACTAAAATATATGAAATAACTCTCAAAGCATAGGACTTTTGATGTTCTGTATCTTGTTGTCATCAAATTTATGACTTGACAGCTGTTCGTGGCCATAGTAAAACGTGTATAGCTAATGTTGCCATTGTTTGTTTGTTTGTTTGTTTGTTTAGATGGTAGCCTCTAAGTACCTGTACGACGAGGGAGAAGATGAAGAAGTTTTCAATGATGAATGGGCTGAAGCAGGTGAGAACAGATGCTTTTATTCTGTTACTTTTACATGTATTTATTCTATACAGTTGAAAGAAATAAGAACAATGACATTAGATAATATGCTAGAAAATGAAGGAAACCTGTTAACATATTAGGTTTTTAGTGAAGTGGTAGAAATACCTCATATCAGTGTTCTGCAATATTGCAGAATGTCAAAATTTTGTTCTGCAATTCGGAAATACTTTCTGCAAATACACGCAAAAATACATGCAAAATTACTTGTAAACATTAGTAAACACAAAAGCTCTTAAACACCATTGAACCCCTGATTCTTTTTCAGTCTGACAAAATTGCAGGTTGCCTAATTTTATTCTGCAATATTGCAAATGTCTCTGCAACATGCAGACTGCAGATGGGTATTTCTAACACTGAAGTGTATATAGTCCTTATGTAACATAGTGTAACAATGATGAAACTAATGGTGTACATTCATGTCT